TCTGTCCACCAGGCCCTACAGGGTGCTGCGGTGATGCGGCCAATGGCCGGGCAGGGGCGGGGCCGGGTAGGGGGCGGGGCCTGGCGCGCGTCCCGTAGTCTCCGCCCCACAGGACCCGAGAGACCTGCTGAGCTGCCCCGCCCAGAGCGATCCGGGAAAGGCCCTGTGCGTCCAGGTGGGGCAGGCCGGTGCCCCCTCTCCCAGCCCCAGAGGCCGCCCAGGTCTCTGAGGATTGCAGTGGAGCAGAAAGAACCAGGACCCGGCTCCACGAGGCGGGTCCGGAGTGCGGTACTGCTGGGGCCCACGGCCCACCACCCACCACCCGTGTCAGGTGTCTGTGCCTCTATACAAATATATGGATCTGGTTCTAGTAATGGTGTTCAAAAGAATCATAACACCCTTTTAGATAGCTCTCACTATATGCTAGGCACTGTGATAACTGCCTTCATGCATTACTGAATTTCACCCATAAAACTTGCCTGGTAGGTGACCCACCTGGCGCAGCAGGCCTCTCCTGGCTCACCCACTGCTCCCTTCAGCTGTGTATTTCAGTAGATCCGCCTGCTCTTCTCCCCACTCTGTCTCTGGTGAATCCTCTCACCATCCCTGCACCTCTGGCTTGTACCCCAGTTCTGTATGCATAAATAAATAAATCCTTTAAAAAAAAAAAAGAATTAGTACTCAAATCCAGAGTGTCCCCAACATCTACTCCTCCATCCTGCCACCCCACTTTATGCCTCCATATAACCTTGAAAGGGGGGCTTGTGATTGGTCATTTGTAATTGCGCACTTGAATGTGGCTTTGTAGTTCTTTTAACTGTGACTCTGAACACACTGTATGTGACTATGTGCCTGAATAGGCATAACTAAGGCTATTTACATATGTCGGGATATGTGTTTTTGTATGTCTGCCTATGTAATTGCAAGTGTCTCTAAGGCTGGATGAATAGGACTGACTTTATCAAGTTTAAGTGTGTAGACCCTCCCTGGTGGCACAACGGACTAAAGCACAGCACTGCGAAGCTGGCCCCAGGCCAGGGAGGTGACCCACATGGCGCAGCAGACCTCTCCAGTCTTGCCAGCTGCTCCCCTCAGCAGTGTGCTTCATTGATCTACCTATTCTGCTCCCCACTCTGTCTCTGCTGAATCCTCTCGCCTTCCCTGTGACTCTGGCCTGTACCCCAGATCATGAATAAATAAATCTTAAAAAAATCTTTAAGTGTGTAGTAGTCTGCCTATATACCTGTAAGTGAAAATGTTCGTCTGTAAGACTGGATAACTCTATGAGCTTTTGCATCATGTATAACTGCAATTATGTGTGTAGTGTATGCCCATATGTACATTTGGGGGGAGGGTGTGTAAATAATGGGACCTGTAAAACGACCCATGAGGAGCTGTATGTTCCTCACCCAGCTCTCCTTATACAGGTTTTGTTTTTCAAAATCCATGCTAAGTGTCCCCTCTTCTGAAAGCCTTCCAGGCTGTCAGGCTGCCCGCCTCTGTCTCTTCACAGTGCTCTATTCCCAAGGCCCTGGGCAGTGCTCTCCTTCACCATCATTCTGCCCTGGTTTTCTAAGTAGGGGCTCTATGGTGTAGCTGAGAGTGGGCTGGACTGGGGAGCCCCAAGCCCTCATTTCTAATCACCATCAAGCTCATCCTTTCTGCCACTTGGACAAGTCCCTTCTCTACACCCATGCTGCCTCTTATGCCCAGGATGCCCTGTTTTCTCCCTGAAATATCGGAGGGTCAAAGCTGATCCCCACCTTCCCTGAGGCCCATCTCTTGCTAAAAGTGTGAGATTGACAACAGTACAGTCTGAGGGGCTAGTATTTTTATTCATCCACCCAGAAAGTACTATTGAGCATACACTGTATACCAAACTGTCTCCTTGCTTTGCACAAAGCCTTAAAGCTGGAAGAGCCCTCAGAGACCTGTTAGCCCAATTTCCTTAATTTACAGAAAACTCGGTTTGAGGAAACCGAGGCCCATAAAGGGATAAGATGAGGGGGCAGAGATCAGAGATACCACTCCAGGGTAAAATACAAATGCCCTGGCATGAACTGAGTGAGGACAGGTGTGAGAGCATAGAGGGATGTCTGGAGCATAGCAGGTGTCTTGGCCTTTTCAGGTGGCTTTGGCCTTTTTGGGAGGCCTTCAGAGAGCTGCCCCACACACACACTCACCAGTCCAGCCTCATCTCCCACCTCACCCCTCTCACTCTCCCAGCATTCGCCATACAAAATGCTTACCACTACCCTAACCCCCACCACACCCACCTCCACCCCACTAGTGCTCCTTTGTCTTCCACCTTTGCTGGGAAGACCCCTCACTGTCCCCAAGACCCTGCCCGACAGTCTGCTTCATGAAGTCGTCTCCCAGCTCAGTTGTCGGTGCCCCCACAGGCATCAGCACTACCCTCCGATCAAGACCTGATCTTGATTAGCACCCCACAAGACGCCATCCCAGCACTTGTCTAGACACCCACTTGTTGGAGTTTGTGCTTTTTCAACCAGAAAACAAGTTCCTCCAGGGTAGTAACTGTCTCACTCCTCTTCGTAACTCAGGCTCAAAGTAGGCGCACCACATATGTGGACAGAAATGGGCGGGAGGGCCTCCCTGTGTGCAGGGATTAAAGCTCAGCACTATGAAGCTATTGGCAGCCACTGCAGCACGAGTTCCCTCCCCGGCCAGGGAGGTGACCCACATGGCGCAGCAGACCTCTCCCGTGTCACCGGCTGCTCCCCTCAGCAGTGGATTTCAGGGGATCCGCCTGTTCTGCTCCCTGCTCTGTCTCTGGCGAATCCTCACATCCTCTGCATCTCTGGCCTACACCCCAGCTCTTGTATGCAGAAATAAATAAATCTTAAAAATAAGTAACTAAATAAACTGGTGGGAAGTGGAGACAGTAGCCTCACACTGGGGGAGGTGGTAATGGGAGCCCTATGGACAGGGACTCTGGTGGACAGGCAGGGGAGCCCGACCCTTGCCCAGTCTTTCACTGCAATGGCTGTACTTGCCCCAGGATGCTTGGAAAGAGTTTGCCAGCAGCCAAGCGCATGGGAGAGCCTAGGGCAGAACTGGTGGGAGAAGGAGGCGGCACAGACAGTGGATGGACAGGAACTCCTGGGGCACAAAACTGGGCGTGAGTATCTCGTGACCTTCTTGGGGAATGGTAAACCCTCACCTAGACGAGGGCTTGGAGGAAAAGGTGTCCCAAGCAGATAAGAGGCTCCACTTGGACCTCCCGGGAGGCCGAGGGGTTGTCTTAGCGCTGTCACTGCTAAGGCCTGCCTGAGTTCATTCCCTGGCCAGGGAACTGACCCACATAACGCAGCAGACCTCTCCTGCTCTGCCCGCTGCCCCCCCTCAGCAGTGTATTTCAGTCACTCCATCTGTTCTGCTCCCTACTCTGTCTCTGGTGAATTCTCTCACCTCCCATACCTCTGGCCTACACACTGGTTCTTCCATGCTAGATATATATATACATATACACCTATATATACATATGCACATGTGTATTTTATACACACATACATACATATACATATACATACACATATGTGTGTATATATTTATTTATTTATTTTTAAAAAGATTTATTTATTTATTCATACAGAACGGGGTCGGGGGTACAGACCAGAGATGAAGAGGGTGAGAGGATTCACCAGGGGCAGAGTGGGGAGCAGAACAGGCAGATCAACGAAGTACACTGCTGAGGGGAGCAGCGGGCGGGTCAGGAGGGG